AGTAATGGCTAGTGTATGGCCAAGACAACTATCAGCTAGAATCAAAAATATTTTATACATACATATATAGTAAATAAATGTCTTTATGTAATGAGAATGGTATCATTTTGAAATCGAACTGGTAAACATTTTCGTGCGAATGAAATGAAAAAAATATGATAATACTGAAATGATCGTATGATTCTATATATAGCAAATTGTTAGACTAACAAACAATAAAAATGTAAAGAAACATTCAAAGAGGCTTTTTGCCGAACGAAATCTTTGTGAAAAATAAGATAAATCTGTACGCTGAATAGATATATAAATACAGAAGTTTATTTATCAGAAGGATACTTTACTTTCATAAGTTTACAGGGTTTTTGCTGATATGTATCGAGATATACTTCTTAGCATGTAGCACTAAATACATTATTGATTCGTGATAAGCGATTCAATTTACTGCCTTTTTCATGAGAAAGGAAGACAAATAACGATAGATAAGAACGAATATTTGAATTGAAAAGCGCATTTTGATTTTAAAGCAAGTAATTTGAATCAATGCTGGTAATGTCCAATAAAAAAATACCTTGCATACCAAATCACCCTTTACTAAGGTTTTGTTAACCAGAAAAACGGAAGTGATCTATAATGACGAATAAGAGTATTCGGAGAAATTTGACTAGTTGTTTTGCGTATGTAGAAATATTTGCGTCGTATACATGAGATAACATGCACTAAAGGATTATATAAATACTGGTTTAAAAGCATAGAATCCCTATCAAACTAACTTTTAGTAAATTATCAATATATGGAGCTATTATTGAGTAAGATGAGATATTTTATCAACATTTTGTTTCACAAGACGGTAAGTTTGCAAAAGTCTATATTCAACATCAATATGTAAGTACGAAGTTTTCTATGATTTTTACACGAGAATAAAAGTAAAACCATAGTGTATTGCACTTGATCTCGAATAAATAAAGTTCTATGCGAAACAATCCGCTTGGATAGAATAACTATGTGAGTATCTTTTGAGTTCGAAGGTGCAAGAAGAGCTAAAACAATCGATTTATTTCACAGCAGTCTGTCCTGTACATAACGTAAGAACACGATTGTTTCCCTTTTAAAAACTCAAACATTTCGAAAAGCAGAGAATTGAGTGCTTCTTGTCAGCGCCGCCCTACATAAATTTTAGGCAGTTCTTATCGCTTCTATATTCAACTTATTTTCAAAGATTCATCGAATAATTATGTAAGAAAATGCAAGTGTGAATAGTTTAGTGTAGAAGAGAAAATCTATGAAAATGAATTATCAACTATTCCAAAGTGTCGCGATGATGTTAGCTTTCTCTTGATGTCTGATTTTATTCCTTATCGACGAAACAGACTCCAAATCATTAAGTTCACTTCTTTTCAACCTTTTTAAGAGTTCCATGATGTCGCAACAAGTGGTTTTTTTCTTTGTTCTTCAGATTATGTACCGAACTGATATATTTTTCTGTCAATTTTAATGCTACTTCCTACAGCAATGCGAACCATGTCTTAGAGCTACTAGTTGAAAACTAATAACAGATATCTAATTTGATCGCAGTTGAGTTTGAAACTATGATTTCTACTTATTATGAAAAGAAAGATATTAAAATGATCAATTATGCAATTTGCATTGAATGTTCCATGCATTTGGATATCGTCCACTGGCTTCTATGCTCAACAACAGAGTCATACTCAATTGACCATAGATAATTCAAATCTGACTCTGTAAAGAATAATTTTGAATTTCAACATTTTCGTTTGGTTTTCAGATAAACTATGAAAAAAATGTTCATTACTCTGTTGATCTTCTTCCTTCTGCTGGAATGCAAGGTCAATGCTTTTTCATCACCAGTGATACGACTTGATGCAAAATCAAATGATGTTTGGATATCGATGAAACAAGCCGCTGAAATATTAAATGTTCCGACACCCGGTAAGATCTTTTCAGAATGTTACGATGTTCTTTTTTTTATTGAATTCTGATCTATTTCAGCTGATTGGGCAAATTTTATCAATCCAACCACGACTACTGGTTCGATTGGACAAGCTCAAGTTGGAAGTTCAAATATAGCTTCGATTATGGAAAACTGGGCAATACCACAACAATTTCGTAATCAAGCTATTCAAAATGTAAAATTATTGATAGCAGCTGCTGATGAAGGCTCATATACGGCTCAAGCATTTATATTTGATATTCAATCAACTGCTTCATTAACATCATTAATAGTTGTAGCCAAAAGGATTGCTTCTTCAGCAGATCCAAATACACCAGTAGCTGTTGCATACATTACTATAAATACAAGTGGTGCAGTCAAAAAGTTATACACAGGTGTGCCTGTTCAGAGTTGTCATAAATGTCCCAAATGTTTATGGACAAGTCGATGTTGCTGTCACACTGTAATTGAACAACGAGAACGCGGCATTACACCTCAAGAACTGAACATTGTGAAACAAAAAATGACAGCCGATCAATTCATTTGGTTCAATCAACAACAATTGAGTAGTGCAGTGAAAAGTACGCTACCACACAATCATGATGATATTCGTAGTGTGAACTTGACGCAAGCAATTGAAAATTTTCTTTCTAACAAGAATGTTCAAGCGCAAGTATTGACGTCATATAATGATTCGATTTTAACTGCATTACAATCTAATTTCACAGCATTGAAACTATCAAGTCAAACATTAAAAATGACGAAAGTTGAACATAAACAGATTCTCAATTTGCTAAAAGCATTATCAGAAGATTATACATTTGAGGATTTTTCGTCGAATGCACAATTTTTACAACAATTACAATCATCACGATTTTCCTATGAAAATTTATTTACAACATTTTCCACTGATCATGATAAGAAAAATACTAAAATAAAATACATTTGGATAATTGGTCAAAATTATGATAATACAACCTATACCATTCATTTTCTTCACTTAAATATCTCTTCACAAGCACTTATTCAAACGTTACTATGCAATACGACAAACAATAGTACACCTTGCAGTGAAGAGAATTTAAATAATCAATTAGACATTGCACGTACAGCAATATTGGCAGATAATGGTCAATTTTTGGATGAAAAAATCTCGAAAATGATTACACCATGGAAATTGACAACAACTAATGTTGTATTGAATATTTTACGTTTCATGGGTGGCAGTGTGTTTAATCCAAAGCAGTATCGTTTGTTATCATATTTCAATCCTCGAATTATTTCACCGGAAGACAAACAAAAGGATGATGATGAATCTCATTCACGAACGTTACCTGCTAAAATCCTTGCTTTATCACAAGCGCTTTCATCTGTAGCCAATTCATGGAAAGACATTGTCAATTCATTTAAAACAAGTAAATCAACTACTATAACAAGAATTGTTCGATTAGGTTTTACACATTTCGATCAAAAATCAACCGTATTAAAAGCTATCGATATACCAGCTAATAAAGCATCAGAATTTATCAATGCTATTGTCATCGATTATAATTTACCATCGAAAGGTAGTTTTTTACTTGGTTTAACCTATTCAGATGATTTTTCATGGGATAATATCGAATATCTTTATTCACCGACCATGGATGGAAAATATCGTTCATTTACATTACTTAAAAATGGAGACAGTATAACAAATACGGCTTCATTTTTTATAGTTGATGTCAATGCCGATTGGCAATTAGCACCCGATTTATTATTGATTCAGACTTCGAAGAGTTATTTGGGTGGTCTCTTTGAATCATCGAAACAATCAATAGAAGAAGTACCACATGTCTTAACGCTGGATGAAGCTAAACAATTACAGCAATTTTTTATGATGATTGCCATAAGTAATGTGGCTGGTACATTAGGAATGAATTTGACCTATCCATCTTTGACATAGCTGATGGAAATGACAGAAAGAAATTTTTCATTTGAAATTATTGACTGTATCATATTCTCTTAAAAAATGTAACTTTTCTTGAATCTTTTATTTTAATTCAGATTGTTTTTCGCGAATTCTTTACCCTAATAAAAGTTATTTGGTTTCAAACAAAATTTTCATTAGTGAGTCTGAAAGGAGACTTATAAGTGGACAAAGCTACTATTGGTTTTGAAGAGCATCAGATCAAGCAGAGAGCAATGCATTGCTTATTTACTTTGTTCAAATATATAACTGATGGGCTTTAAGTTTGTGATTATAAAGGAAGAATGAACCATGAGAATAAAGAAATACCTAATTCGATGTATTCTAATAGATAGCAGACATGTTGCATTGACAGAGAAAGATTTCGAATGGTAAACAACTCATTTGTTTTTGTTCTTATTGATAACGTGATTTACTTGCGCTCTTTATATATATATATAAGTAATCACATGTGTATGTACTATACATGTTAGCTGTCGAGCTGACTTTGTACGAGCCTCTTTTATTCTGAGGAAAGGGTGTGAGTGTGGCTGCGTGTTGAAGAGTAAAAGATAGACACCCACATCCCCACCATCCTCGGATTCTTGCGCGACCCGACGTAATTCGGATCGACCTCCAGACGGAGAATCGTTTCTTCTGGAAAGTTATCGCGAAGCTATAAAAAGCTGCAAAAATCGGACGCTTGAAGAAGAAAGTATTCTTTCATCCATTTGGCTAATCAAAAACCATGAGCTGAAGAAAAGGAGAAGAATACATACGTCTAAATAGAGATGATAAAAGAGCATTATTCATTATTATAAATATTTCGCATGCACTAAAAATATAAAACTTGTGTTATAAATTTACTTTTTCTAGGTTTATTTTTTTTTCGAAAAGGAGGAAACAAAATTGAGTATCATGATTACTATTTGCTTATATACTTTGTGATCTCTCACACAAAAAAAGCATCGATGACTAAAAATTAAAAAGCGTGCAAACAACAAAAGAAAACTATTTCGCTGATCACGACATAAATAGATTAATTTCACTTGAGCTTTTTCTTTGCCATGTATATGCAAAACCAAAAAAACAAATACAAGTATAAAATTAAGATATGTTCCAAATAAGGTCTAAACAACCTTCATCAAATAAAATATATTCACCATGATTAGTATCAATGCGATTGAATTCTTGTCTTAGACTGTTTTCATCAGTACTTGAATAACCGATAAGTTCATGTCCTTTTTTAAATTCATTAAAACTTGTTCTTTTATCTTTATTTGTATCTAATTGTCCAAATAGATGACTTAGTTGATTATAATAATATAATAAGTCAAGAAGAAAACGACGGAATTCTTTAAATTCAATGAATCCAGACTACAAAGGACAGATAAATTTAATCAAAAAAAGCTTGTTAGCGCAGCTCCTGCGGAGCTGAAATGTGGAACTCACGTATATCTTTAGCTTTGTTACCTGACGCATCATCTGTATACTGAAAGACTTCTCGTCAACTATAGTTGTTTTCCTTGAGAATCGATGAAAAGAGCGGGAATTTATTATTTATTTGTATATTAAAAAATAAAATATTGTTTTTTCATTTAAGCGCGCTGGATTTCATTTATAATTATTGCTACATACTCGATAATAATCTTTTTTTTTGTTTTCTAATTTGAAGTTATTTTTCTCCACCATCGACTATTTGATGAATACGGTTGTTGCAGTCTGTAATGGAAGGGGGGGGGGGGGGGGGGGG